TATAATGTGAACAACCACGCAAAATAATCGGATCTCAGAAAAAAATCGGAATTGAGCATTAAGACCTGCAGTGTGAACGTAGCCTAAGAAGAAGAGAACAAGTCAAAGAGTCTAGTCCACATAGCAAAATTGCTCTGGCCGAATGATGGCCCACACAGCCTACTTACATTTGGCCCAAATGCAGCAATGAAGTACAGTCCAGAGGTGGTGGACATATAGCCATATTTCAGCCAACTGTCCCTCACTCTTCTCCTTTGTCAGGACTGCATTTAGCAATGTAGTGACAAATAGTTAAATGAAGAAAATCAGCCACTGAATACACCCCCCCAAAATCAAATAAAAGAAATAGTGCTGAAAATTGTCTGGTCCAACATAGGGCCAGTCGTGGTCATACAGTTGGCTGAGATATGGCTATGTAATGGACCACCTCTGGACCGCAGTCCGTCCAATAGTTGTGGAGTTATTTCACAGGGCAACAAAAATGTCGACCTGCTGGTAGTGCAAGATGAAGAATTTAAATGTCTGATCCAAATTTTGTGCGCCAGAGATATTTGACTCTGCAGTGACGCGGTGGCAAGATGGAGTAACTGAAGAGCCCCACCACTAGCAGAAACACAGCATAGTACTCAGATAAGCTTTCTTATACCTCAAAAGAATCCTTTAAGATGCTCTAAGGATACAAAACAAACAAAGTGCACAACCCCACACACACCCACCACACAAACATAAATTGGCTGTCAATGAATGAATAAATAAGCTGTTTCATAAAAAGAAATAAAGAGTTGTCAGCTATGGATGAGGAGAGCTTATGTTTATCTCTGTAGTCTATGTAAATACACATATCGGCAAAACAACTCCCAGAAATAAATATATATATAGAAATATATAAAAGTCCACATTTGCTCACAGAGATCCCTGTTGTTTTGAAATTACACACCACGTTTTCCAAGCCCCACGGGCCACCAAGCCCATGTTACGCATAAAAGATCATATAGACCTGCAACTCAAGCGAGAAAAAGAAAGTCTGGCAAACGGGAACTGTGTGGTTTCGCTTTGACGAGAGAGTGGAGCTGGTTGTAGCTGAAGTCTGGGGCAGATGTTAGCCGGCAGGTTTTGGCTGTGTGTGCTTTCATTAGGTTTAGCTTTCATACGCTCCCCGGTGACAGGCCATTCTGCCAAATGAGCTCCCAAGTGAGCCGACTCCAGTTCCAACCCGACGTCCAAAAATTGTGGCTGGCTGCAAAAGAGGAAGACATGCATGTGCTGCTATGCATCTTCCTGCACACATTCAAGCATTCTCTAACATAAAATGAAACGATTGCTTCTGGTGAAAGACGACACGCAATGCTGCACTTCTTTGGCACGCGTTAAAAGGCATCTGCATGCACTGCCTCCTGCACGTCGCATTGTTGTTGATGTGCAAAGTTAAGACAGCTTCGTTTGTCTTTGCTCACAAAACAAAGGTAGATTGATGGAATTGAAAAAGAGGTATTCCCTTCTTTATGTTTCACATTGCAAGGCTGCGGTGACAAACGTCTCCGGGATAATGGAGGGGAAAATTATTATTAGCAACAAAAACCGTTCACAATTCACACCAAATGTTCTCCTGTAAGCCAGCAGTCGATATTTCTTTGTTAGCGTGTTGCTGCATTCTGTAATTATGTTTTTGCCCTTTCTGGGAAACACAGTCATGAAAGAAGAAATGAGAGCAGGGAAATTGAATTCTTTGCCTATATAATTGTTTAATGACGAATGCACCCATAAATTGGAGCAAAGAGACAGAAAGTTTTACATTCCTCCTCTCCAGAAGTGAAAGCAATATTTCCTCTTTGTGAAATATAATAATTATTTATTCTGCTTATTCTGTTGAAGTGGCACCATCGTCCCCAAGTAGGAATTTTGTATGAAGCATTTTATTACCATCAGTATATTTTGATGATTTATTAAACAATGTGAATACCTAAAGTCACAGCTGAAACAGGCGTCTTGAATCCAAGTGTGATATGAACTTTATCGAGGTTCAGCCC